AGAACGGCGTACGAGATTTGAATTCAAGGCCACGTAGAAAATCCCCCCAAAAAATGAGTCGAATAAATGACACGTGAATCAAGAATCACAACGTGCGTAGATGACACTCAAGAAAGGGAAAATGACACCGTGCTATAATTTATATCGATGCATATTTCTGTCTGTGGCTTCCTGTTTCAATCTAGGTTGCTTACGGTGCATTAAAAGTGTGAATAGGCAAATTCTTTGCATTTGCAGAAATGCCCAAAAGCATCTTGAATTTGGACGGAAAAACGTCAAGCTTTGCAGGGAGATGGATTGAAGTGTGAGCTCTTGGGCTGCATTGATATATTATCTATGTCAGGGATGTTAAACACAAGGCCCATAGGCTGGATCTGGCCTGTGGGGTGCTTAGATCTGGCCCACAGGGCCACCCTGGAAACAGCAAAGGAGCAGCCCACGGTGCCTCTGCTAGTGAAAACGGAGCTCGGGAGGGCCGCGTTTGGCCACCCCCAGGTTCCGTTTTCACTGGCAGAGGGTTAGTAAAACAAACTAAAAACCAAACAAAAGGAGAAATGTTTCCCCTTTTGCATTTGAGCGTGCAAGAAGGGACAGGAAAGGAGAAAGGGAAAGAGGAAAGACAAAGAAAAAGATGGGAAGATGGGAAGAGAGCAAGGAAGGAAAAGGAAGGAAAGAGGGAAAGGAAAAAGAAAGGAGAATGAAGAGGGTAGGAAAAAGAAGAAAGAAGGGAGGAAGGGAGGAAGGAAGGAAGGAAGGAAGGAAGGAGATTATAATGAGAGTGAGGGAGGGTCTGAGGCAGTGGTGGGTTTTACTTACCTTTACTACCAGTTCACTCACTCTCGCGTTTGCTTCGCTCATGCACACACCACTTCTGCACATGCGCAGAATGCAGAGTGTATTTGATGACTTCCGGGTGGGTGGACGGAGCCTCCCGCCACCATTACTACCGGATCTCCCGAACCGGTGCGAACCGGGAGCAATCCACCACTGGTCTAAGGGAAGTCCTGCCTTAGCACTTGGCCACCACAGGTGCCCCAGACACAAATGACATTGAGCTGGCCATGCCCACCCTGGCCACGCCCACCCTGGCCACCCCTACCCCAGCCACCCTCATCCTGCCACCCCTGAGGTCAAACACAACCTTCTTGTGGCCCTCAATGAAATCGAGTTTGACACCCCTGATCTCTATGTGTTTGGATTTAAAGCAGAAAACTACAGATAAATACAAGAACAGAGGGTTAACAGGAGGATCTGAAGGTTAGTGAAACATTTGGGCTAACCTGTTGACTGTGTTTTTTTTTTTTCCCTCTCTCTTCTTCTGCATATGCATTATGATAGATTATCTCATCTGGAATACTTCTTTATTTAATCTAATATTTTTTGTCAAACAAGGGTGAGAAAGCTTATCTGTAGATCTGTTATGTAAGGGGAGGAGAACCTACTAGGTTTTTTTAAAAAAAATATTTCAACACCCGGATATTTTTGACATTGGTTGGTTTTATGTTTTTTTCTCTTTATTTCCCCTTTCTTTTGGACAGGTATTCCTCGACTTACGACAGTTTGTTTAGTGGCTGTTCGAAGTGACGATGGCGCTGAAAAAAGTGACTTAATGACCATTTTTCTCACTTATGACCACTGCAGAATCCCCCATGGTCACGTGATTTACATTCGGGGGCTTGACAACTGTCTCGTATTTATGACGGTTGCACTGTCCCAGGGTCATGTGATCCCCTTTTACGATCTTTTGACGAGCAACGTCAATGGGGAAGCCACAGGGATTCACATTCGCAAATATGGTCAGAAAAGTCATAAAATGGGACAAAAATCACTGAAGAAATGTCTCACTAAGCAACATAAATTCTGGACTCAATTGTGGTCATAAGTTGAGGACTACATATATATAAGGGGAGGAGAACCTATTATTATTATTTATTATTATATACTTTATTCATTAAACATGAAACTCAGTCAACTGAACATTCAATAATGCATCACAAATACCATTGACTGGTGCTAATGGTTGATACGGGTTGCTGCCAGCATCCTAAGTATCAACCAAGTACCTTCTTAAGATGTATGATGTTCCGAGTAGCGCAGTTTTGTGCAGTTCCATTGGTGTTATTTCAGGAAGATGCAATTTCTTGATGTATTTTATAAAATTCTTGGACATAGTACCAAGTGCCCCAATGACAATGGGTATCACTGTTACATGTTTCATCCATAATCGCGTAGTTTCGATGGCTAGGTTGCAATATTTCGTGATTTTTTTTCTAGTTCTTTTTCTTCGACTCTGGTATCTCCCGGTACCACAATGTCAATAAATTGTACGTTTCGGTTTTCGACAACCGTAATATCTGGCGTGTTGTGTTCCAAGTGACGATCCGTCTGTATTCGAAACTCCCACAAGATCTTCACCTTCTCAGTTATATTTTCTATAACTTTTTCCACTTGATGTTCCCATGACTTTTTGGATACAAGTATGTCGTATTTTTTTACATAATGACCAGTGGATTAATTTAGCAACTCCGTTGTGTCTAGCTTTGTAATCAGTTTGTGCGATTTTGCTGCATTCACATATTAAATGTGAAACAGTTTCGACTTTGTTGTTGCAAAGTCGGCAGTTTGGATTGTCGGTGGATTTTTGTATCTTTGCTTTCATGGCATTAGTTTGTAGTGCTTGTTCTTGAGCAGTGAGTATAAGCATCACCTGTATATTCTCGACATGGGAGGGTCTCTTTTTTCCCTATCTTTCTTTTCCCTTTTTTTCTATGGTTAGTGCTGGATGTTAGTCTATCTGGTGTGTGTATGTATTTCATCCTTGTTGATGAAGGAAAATAAATATGCTTTTAAAAAATAAAACCAATATTGAGTCTAACTAAACTCTTGGTAATACCCGTGAAAAGCCGAGTTGGGAAGTGTTATAATGATAGTCTAAGTAATTGGCTGGATTTAATGTTGTAGTCGATGCAATATATAGGCTAATGATTAGTGGCTGGAAACTGTCTTCACAGCGTTCTGTGGAAGTGATTGCCACTTTTGCTTATGCATCGTTTGGGGATTGTGACATACAGCCCACAAGGTTCAATGAAATTTCTCCCTGAGGTATGTGGGTGGAACTGTGAGCTCGAGCTAATTTGAGTGTGTAGCATGGAAACGTTTCAGTGTTTGAGGAAGTCAGAGCTAATTGAAAATAGGTGAAAGCAGCCAAAATGCCTTCTCTTCTCTTCTCTTCTCTTCTCTTCTCTTCTCTTCTCTTCTCTTCTCTTCTCTTCTCTTCTCTTCTCTTCTCTTCTCTTTCTCCTCTCCTCTCCTCTCCTCTCCTCTCCTCTCCTCTCCTCTCCTCCCCTCCCCTCCCCTCCCCTCCCCTATTCTATTCTACCCTACCCTACCCTACCCTACCCTACCCTACTTCTTATTCTTTTCATTCTAATTTCTATTCTGTTCTGTTCTGTTCTGTCCTGTTCTGTTCTATTCTATTTCCTATTCTGTTCTGTTCTATTCTATTCTGTTCTATTTTCCAATATTCTATTCTATTCTATTCTATTCTATTCTATTCTATTCTATTCTATTCTATTCTATTCTATTCTATTCTATTCTATTCTATTCTATTCTACTCTATTCTAAAGCAGTACAAAACATGACACCAAATAAAGCTGTTACTATGGATGTTAATGCAACCAAGAAACCAGGCCCTAAACATATTCAGGGTATCAGTCCTAGACATGCAACCAAGTCCTCATAGCCTTAGGAAAAGGCAACGGCTAGTCCTGGACTTATAACAGTTCACTTAGTGACCATTCAAAGTTACAACAGCAGTGAACAAAGTGACTTATGACAGTTTTTCACACTTACTATCGTGGCAGCATCTCCTTGAGCAAAATTAAAATGCTCGGCAACTGACTCGTATTTATGATGGTTGCAGTGTCCCGGGCTCATGTGATTCCCCTTTTGCGACCTTCTGATAAGCAAAGTCAATGGGGAAAGCAGATTCGCTTAACAACCATGGGAAGAAAGGTCATAAAATGGAACAGAACTGACTTAACCACTATCTTGCTTAGCAACATAAATTTTGGTCTCAGTTGTGGTCATAAGGACTAGCTGGATATAGAATGCGGCCACCAGAGGTGGTATTCAGCCGGTTCGTATCAGTTCACACGAACTGGTAGCGGCAATTGTGGGTGCCACCCACCTGCCCACCCGCCCCAGCGTAATGCCATCCTATTTAGCCATGTTTTCAAGGCTGGACGCATGCACACATACAAGCAAAGCACATGCGCGGAAGGCACAAAGGGAACGAGCGTGCGCACATGTGACAAACTGGTGGTAAGAATATGTGAAACTCACTACTGGTGGCCACTATATCTAAATAAAAGGCTGGTTTATGCTGTTTGGGATAACTCAGGGGTCAGCAACCTACGGCTCTGGAGCCACATGTGGCTCTTTGAGCCCTCCACTGTGGCTCCCTGTCAGGTGATCCCACCACTGGCTGGCCCCGCCCCTTGCCCTCCCCTCCCAGTCACTCATCGCCTGGCCTGAGAAGGGTAAGGGCAACAGTGAGGGATGGAGAAGTGGCCAGGGCAGAGACAGAGAGATACAGAGAGAGGGGGAGAGAGGGGAGAGAGGGAGGGAGGGGAGAGAGAGAGATGCCAAAAGGATTTTGGGGCTCCCGGTGTTTTTTAACAACTGGTTCTCTGCCCTAATGACCAGCTGGGTAGGCATGGCTAAGGGGGGGTCATGTGACCAGTGGAAGTGAGTGACATCGAGTTGGCCACGCCCACCCAGGTTTTGTGGCTCCCGGTGTTTTCTTTTCTGTGGGAAACGGGTCCAAATGGCTCTTTGAGTATTTAAGGTTGTAGACCTCTCGGATAACTGCTTGCTCACATCAGAACTTCCGAATGAGGAAAAGAGAGGAAAGAGAACGGAGAGTTTAGGAATCAGGACACCTCTAGGAAACTCCTTTGCAGATTATAATCCCTCCCTCCCTCTCTCTTTCTCTTCAGATGCATCGTGGATAATCGAGTGACGCGGGTAGCTTGGCTCAACCGAAGCAGCATTCTTTACGCGGGCAACGACAAGTGGTGCTTGGACCCGCGAGTGGAACTAATTGCCAACACCAAAACCCATTACGCCATCCGGATAAATGACGTGGATGTTTACGACGAGGGACCGTATACTTGCTCAGTACAGACGGACAATCACCCCAAAACCTCACGGGTCCATCTCATTGTGCAAGGTAAGGCTTCGTTGCGGGAAGTTTGCTCTGGTCTGGTCCGCCCTGGAGGAAGACTTCAGAAGAGGTCAAACTTTGGAACATGACCAGAAACCTTCAAATAAAGATCAAACGCGCGGCTCTGACATTTAAGTGCTCCAGCTGCTGTTATGCTGATGCTCGGGGGAATGAATGTCCCTTTGTAGAATTCAAGAGTAGTTGATGTTCTCCTTTTGCGGCGGTTTGCAAAACACAGCAATCTTCTAACCAGATGAAGAGCACTTGCCCTGCAGGCTGTATGTACATTTTTTTTTTTTAATTTGATTTATATGCCGCCCTTCTCCGGAGACTCAGGGCGGTTTACAATGCGTTAAGCAATAGCCTTCATACTTTTGTATATTTATACAAAGTCAGCTTATTGCCCCCACAAACTGGGTCCTCAATTTACCTACCTTAGAAAGGATGGAAGGCTGAGTCAACCTTGAGCCTGGTAAGATTCGAACCTGCAGTAATTGCAGGCAGCCGTGTTAATAACTGGGTGCCTTAGACTACTGTACTATCAAGGTTCTTGGTACCAAGGCTACCAAGATTTTATTTATTTATTTATTTATTTCATTAAATTTCTATACCGCCCTACTCCCGAAAGACTCAGGGCGGTGAACAGACACAGGATAAAACACATAAATACAAAAATTTAAAATAGAATAAAAATGAATTAAATAATTTGGCTGGACAAATTTAAAATACCCCATAATTTAAAAACAAATTAAAATTGATATTTAAAAAGGGGAGAAGGTTTAGGCCAGGCCAGCTTGATGAAATAAAAAAGTCTTAAGCGCGTGACGGAAGGTGCACAGATCCGGGATCCTCCGTATCTCCGGGGGGAGCTCGTTCCAGATCGTAGGTGCCCCCACAGAGAAGGCCCTCCCCCTGGGGGCCGCCAGTCAACATTGTTTGGCCGACGGCACCCGGAGGAGCCCCTCTCTATGGGAGCGTACTGGCCAGTGGGAGGCTATTGGTGGTAGTAGGCGGTCCCGTAAATAACCAGGTCCTAAGCCATGGAGCGCTCTAAAGTGATAACCAGAACCTTGAAGCGCACCCGGAAAACCACCAGGAGCCAGTGCAGCTCGCGCAGGAGAGGTGTTACATGGGAACTCCACGTCGCTCCCATAACCACCCGTGCAGCCGCACTCTGTGCCACTTGGAGCCTCCGAGTGCACCTCAAGGGGAGCCCCATGTAGAGAGCATTACAATAGTCCAGACGATCTTAGAACTCCTTTTTTTTTTTTAATGGCTCCAGAGCAACCCAAAAAATCAGAGCTCGGGGATAGCATCCCACAGTCGGGGAGCCAAGAAGTAGCTATGCAAAACTAAAACTCTCACAGCTGTTTTAAATCCAGATTTTTTTACAATGGAGGAAAAAAGGGGGGAGGCTGAAATTTCAGGTCCTGGCTCAATTGCATTATACCGTGATGTTCTCATGGCTTTTATCCACCAATAGCAATAGCACTTAGACTTATATACCGCTTCACAGTGCTTTTACAGCCCTCTCTAAGCAGTTTACAGAGTCAGCTTATGGTCCCCCAACAATCTGAGTCCTCATTTGACCCACCTTGGAAGGATGGAAGGCTGAGTCAACCTTGAGCCCGTCAGAATTGAACTCCAGGGTGCGGGCAGGATTAGTTTGCAATACTGCATTCTATTCACTCTGCAACCACTACTCCCTAATAGCACTAACACTTAAGACTTCTCATGGCTTTTATCCACCAATAGCAATAGCACTTAGACTTATATACCGCTTCACAGTGGTCTTTAAAGCCCTCTCTAAGCTGTTTACAGAGTCAGCCTTTTGCCCCCAACAATCCGGGTCCTCATTTGACCCACCTCGGAAGGATGGAAGGCTGAGTCAACCTTGAGCCTGGTGAGATTCGAACTGCCAAATTCCAGGCAGCCGGCAGTCAGCAGAATTAGCCTGCAGTACCGCACTCTAACCACTGGGCCACCGCAGCTCTAAACAATAAACGAACAGGCCTCTTGCTGTAAAGAAATATATATTCACTGCACTATTGTGAATCTAGCTATCCTTTGTCCTGTGAGCACCTTGCTTAGGCTCCCCCAATCTTTTCTTAGTTCCACCTTTTTTTTTTCTCTTCTAGATAAGGGGTGAATTACCAAAGATCTCACAGTTACATTGCATTCCCCAACCTCCAATTTATAGCCTTGAGTTACCTTGACTTCCTGAACATTAGCAGTGGAGGTTCCCATTAGTTTATCGTGGCATATGCATGAACATCATAGTGCAACTTCACACAGAATTTAAACCCAGAATAGCAATAGCAATAGAAGGATTGGAGGGTGAGACAAGCTTGAGCCCCATCAGGATCAAACTCTAGGCTGTGGACAGAGTTTGCCTGCAATACTGCATTCTAACACTGGGAGGGAGGGAGGGAAGGAGGGAGAGAGGGAGGAAGGAAGGAAGGAAGGAAGGAAGGAAGGAAGGAAGGAAGGAAGGAAGGAAGGAAGGAAGGAAGGAAGGGAGTGTTCTGCCCCAGCTACGGATCCCAAAGAACACAGCACACACAAACTCTGAACAAAACTTAGTTTACTCAAATAACACAGTTTTAGCAAATGCCGGCTGTTAATAAGCGTTCTTAACAGCCTGCCAGACTTCCACAGATAAGATAGTCAGAGTCTTCCTGGAGTTGGCAGAAAGGCCAGAAGCAAAGTTGCAGAGAAATCCCAACGCGATGATTAGCGAACTAAAGTTGTTTCCTGCAGCTTGTTGCAAGCTGTGTTCTTTCTTAAATAGGCTAAGGGAGTGGCCAATTAGCCCCAAGCCTTACTCTCGAGGAGACCTCCTCCTGAGGAACCATTCCTGTCTTTTGACAGCTCGGAGAACCGCTAGCAAAAATCCCTGCCCCCCCCCATTGCCCAGCTGAGCCGTGCAATCATCAGAGGCATTTTTTTTTATTTTTAAAAGCATTTTTTCTACAACCTCTTTGGCTGAAGAGGTTATAGAAAAAATGTTTTTAAAAAGAAAAAAAGCCTCTGCCAATCAGGCAAGTCAGCTGGGATCGTCAGAGGCTTTAAAAGCATTTTTTACAACCTCTTCAGCTGAAGAGGTTGTAGAAAAAATGGTTTTAAAAGTTAAAAAAAAAAAAGTTGGCCACGCCCACTCAGTCATATTACCCACCCACCCCCACCAAGCCACGCCCACAGAACTGGTAGTAACAAATTTTACATTTCATCACTGGGTTTGAGGATGTAACAACAGAGTCAGGTAGTGCATTCCGGGCATTGGCCACTCTGTTGCTGAAGTTGTATCTTCCGCAATTGAGTTTGGAGCGGTTTACCTTGAGTTTGTATCTATTGTGTTTCTCGTATATTGTTGCGGTTGAAGCTGAAGTAGTCATTGACAAGTAGGACATTGTAGCAGATAATTTTTTGGACTACGCTTAGGTCAGATCATAGGTGGCATAGTTCTATCTAGGTTGTCCAAGCCCAAAATTTCAAGCCTGGTGACATAAGGGATTCTGTTGTGAGCAGAGAAGTGAAGGACTCTTCTCGTGAAATACCTCTGGACTCGCTCAATTGTATTAATGTTTAATTAATGTATTAATGGAATAGGTGTGGCAGACAACTATTCATCTTTCTACCGGACGGACTTGTTAGCCTGCGAGATAAACTTTTTGCCTGGGTTGCTGGCATTCCTAATAAAGGAATCTTTTGAGTTCACGTCAGAGGGCTTGTCGTGTTTGAGGACACCTTCCTCTTAAAGCAATCAAGAAAAAAAAAAAACAGAGCAAATTTTCTCCTCGGAGTATATACATCTCTTTGCTCATGAAACAACTAACGGATGTGTTAAAAAATAGAGCAAATTTTCTCCTCGGAGCATATACATCTCTTTACTCATGAAACAACTAACGGATGTGTTTCCAATCTTGGCATTTTCTGTTATCTTTCAAATTTATGGCGTCTGTTCCCATTCATGCATCAAAGCTGATCACATTAAAAAAAAAATCAAAGCTATAATCATGGAAGCTGGAGAGTAGTAATTACTTACCCATCCTTTCTGAACCTCTGGTATTTAAAATCAATCCTGCCTCTCTGTTTGTTGTTTTAGTGTTTTATTATTTCGGCTTCTTCTCTTCGTGAATAATTGTGGAAGGAAGATATACGGTTTCCTCAAGAGAGCAACACGTTCTGTCAGTGGAAGGTACTTCAAGGTCTCGTTCTGTGAAGGAGGAGGGTAACTAGTTATCTAGACAGAAAGTTGCTGTCGCTTGACTTTGAAGGTAATTGGAATTGGGAGCATTCAGAATATTGTAATATCTAAGAAAGGTATGTTTGTTCGCGGCTTTCAAAGTCGTGTATATAAATTGTGGCCATCTCTGAAACAGACTGAAAACAACAATAACCGTGGAACCAAAAAAAAAAAAAAAATCATAACTATTTAATTTACTAAAATAACATTTTTTTTTGTTTTTTCTTTGGTTTTGTTTTAATGGCAGAGTTCACAAATCTTCCAGGCATTTGCAAACTGTTGTCTCTGGTGCCGCCACAACTTATCTAATTGCGCTGTGTTCAATAACAGATGGATGAATAAATTTCAGGCTACAAAGACCGGAAAGACAGTTTTATTTATTGTTCTTTGCCTATGGAGAGAAATGTTGCCGAATGGAAGCAACTACCTGCATCATTAGAGATGCACTCTGAAAATGTCTAGTGAGAAACTGTCACGATCCTTTTCCTCCCAGACAAACTGTCTAAACTTTGCTGTCTCTTGATCCTCTGAAATGCAGCCCGTCCCTACTGGGAATCCAGACTACATTCCACCACACTAAACTTGTCTTTAGTACAGTCCCAGGATTTATGTTGTTGTTGTTAGTTGCGAAGTTGTGTCCGACCCATCGCGACCCCATGGACAACATTCCTCCAGGCCTTCCTGTCCTCTACCATCCCCTGGAGACCATTTAAGCTCACACCGACTGCTTCAGTGACTCCATCCAGGCACCTCATTCTCT